ACCCAGATCAGTTTTGTGCCAAGTGAGCACCCTGCCTGCTGTACTGTGGCCCTGGCCCATGCCTTCAACATCCCTTTGAATCAAACAGTTCTACACAGTTGTTTCAGTAGCCCAGAGGTGAGACTTAAGCAATAGTCACATCCGGTCACTTTCGGTTTTCAAAGTTAGTTTCAGAGTGGGTGTTCTCATAGTCAGTAAATCTACCGTGTTCCAAAACACCCCATTCTTGATGTGTTTTCTCCATTTAGTAATCACTTTTATTATAGTAGTACAGAGGCCAGAACCTATAGTACTGTGGGTAAGGCGCTTGTCTTGAAAGCGGCCTACCTAGGATTGATCCCCAACACCCCATACGATCCCCCAAGCACTGCCAAGAGTGATCCGTGAGCAAGTCAGAAGTAAGTCCTGATCACCTCCAGATGTGGTCGCATAACCTAAAATAAAATACAGTTAGCTGATTTGTTGGATTTGCACGGTAGTCTCACGAGTATGATACCATCTCTACAGTGACCTTTTGAGAGTTTCATGCCACACATAAAAACACACATCATGTCACACACAAACATGGGAGAGTTGTAGTGAATTGGTTTAAAGAATACCTCAAAGGTTACTACTTTTCATGAAAATCTACTAAGAAGTTCCGTTACAGTTTTCAATTGTAGTTATAAAACTGTGCACTGATGTAGCCTGTGTCAAGACCTTTGTTTTATGCATGTAGATCGCGAGCCTCTACTTGTGCTGTTTCCGTTTGTCACTGGAAGGAATTGGCCGGACTTGAAAAAGGAGACTATAAATTTTGAGCCTCTTAGAGGATTCGAGAACTGCTGCCTTCTAGCTATGTGACCTTGGAACATTCAGTTTTTCTGAACCTTGTTCGACTGTCAGTCAAGTATAGGGAAGCAAATTAGCTGTGTAGGATTCCTGTGAGAGGTCAGGAAGATCATGGGATGAGTGTCCACCACAGGGCTGCTTACCAGTATTGGGCTGACATTTGTATTGACATCAAACTCAAATAAGTTCTGATAAAAGGGAAAGACTTTCAATTGTTTAAAAAACAAACGTGCTGGGGCCAGAGAGATGGCTCAGAAAACTGAGGTGTATGGAGGACTACCAGGTTCAATCCTCAGCACCTCCTGGGGTGATCCCGGAGCACTGAGCAAGGAATAGCCCCTGAGCACTTCCAGGTAAATTCCCAAACCAAAGTGTTGCATCAGCTTTGTAGCTCAGCAAAAGAGTTTTGCGTGTGTGAGACCCTAGGTTCAAAAACAAAAGTTCCACAAAGTGTGGTTTGTTTTTTCTTAAATTGTATAAGCAACTAAGTCATGTCATAACCATAGGTGTTGTTAGAAATGTGATATTTTAATTATGACTTGAACATTTGAATGAGCTATAAAAAAAAGTCCCATCAAGAGAACCAATTGTTTTGAAAAGTGTAAGGACAGAAAAGGGCAAACTGTGTTTTAGAACTAAATCATCAGTCGCTGAGGCAGAAAGGTAAAAGACAACTGAGAACCAAGAACGTTTGATTCTGAAACTCTTCTTTCCAAGTGGGGTAACTCGGGTGACAAAAAGAAAGGTTACTGAATTTTGGGTGAGAAAACCCAGCTTAAGTCCAACCAAGTGCGGGTACCTGTGTGTGTGTGTGTGTGTGTGTGTGTGTGTGTGTGTGTGTCTTAGAAGAAGACCGTTAACCTCTATAAGGTAAAGGTAAAGGCCCTCCCGTTGATCGTTGATTTGCTCGAGCGGGCCCAGTAACGTCTCCATTGGAGACTTTGTTGTTACTGTGTCTGGCATATCCAATACTCTCGGTAGCTTGCCGGGCTCTCCTAGAGGGGCGGAGGAATCGAACTCGGGTCGGCCATGTTGGCCGCTTGTAAGGCGAACGCCCTACCCGCTGTGCTATCGCTCCAGCCTCTATATACCTATGGAGTTAACTATATATAGAGTTATCTATATATAGTTAACCTCTATATACCTCAGTTTCATCAACTAGAAATGTAGTAATCTAGAAATGTAGAAATCTTTGGAGGTGGGGAGAGGTAGTACAAGGAGTAAGCTACTTGCCTTGCTTGCAGCCAATCTGGGTTCCATCCCTGATACTCCATATATTCCTTGAGCACTGCCAGGAGTGAGCCTTGAGTCCACAGCCAAGAGTAAACCCTGAGCAGATCTGGGTGTGGCCTCAAAACCAAAAAATATCTAAATATTTTCAAAGAAATGTCAATGTTTATTAGGGGTTTCTTAAGATTAAATTAATTAAGGCAGATATACATGTTTTCTTTTTTGTTCTTTTATTTGGGGATGCTTTTGTCTTAGTGTTTTGGGGGTCATTCTTGGAGGAGGGCTCTCTGGGTGGTATTAGGGGACCGTAGGGTGCTGGGGATTAACATGGGGTTACTACATGGAAAGCATGCGCTCTTGTCTGTTGAGCTATATCCCCTGCCCCTTTGTGCATGCTTTAAAATTCACTTTAAAAACTATATCACATTTGAAATTATATCAAAATAAAAAGTTGCTACAGTGTTGAATAGATCATAGAGGGAATAAGGTGCTGCCTTGCTTGCAGCTGGCCCTGATTTGGTCCTCAGCCCCACGTATACTCCTCCATGCACTGAGCGGGGTCACTCGTGAGCACAGAGCCAAGAATAGCTTCTGAGCATTGCTGCATGAGATGCAACACCTCCACGCAAATTATTGTACAGCAATAATAATGAAGCAGCTAGAAAAAGAAAAGGCAGGAACTCAGGCAGACCTGGACCAAATTATTGCTGCATCAGTCTTTATGTCAATGTAGTTCGTATTCAGCTTCCAGAGAGGTTTGCTTGGCACTCCTTCATCAGCGAGTTGTGGGCCTTGACTGAGCTCCCACCAGACTGCATAGAGTATAAAAGATTTAATTCTGCAGAGCATAGTCTGGATACTACTGCAGAAAAAAAAAACAAGGCATAGTGGGCAGGCTACAAATCAAGTCATTGTTTCAAGGACTGTGCAAACCCCAGCATCCTTCATGACCTTGTAATAATTTTATAAAAAGTGAAGAAGAATCAGTCATGGCTAATGTTATTGGGAGTCCAGCTTGTGATATTTCACTGAAATGTATATCTGTAATATAGAAAGTTTTCAGTATGTAGTATCTACTTTTGTTTTTTCCTGGTTTTTGAGTCATATCCGATAGTGCTTTGGGTCTACTCCCGGCTTGGCTTTTGAGGGCTCGCTACCTACAAGTGCTGGGATCAGACCCCAGCCTTCTGCGTGCAGAACTTGCCTGTGGAGTGATCTCTGGCCACTGTCACTGTCCTCCCGTTATTCATCGATTTGCTCGAGCGGGCCCAGTAACATCTCCATTTTGAGACTTATTGTCACTGTGTTTGGCATATTGAATACGTCACTGGTAGCTTGCCAGACTTTGCTGTGCGGGGATCTCTGGCCAACTTATGTTTTTTAATTTTATTTTGCTTTTAGGTTTTGGGCCACACCCAGCAGTGCTCAAGGTTTACTCCTGACTGTGTGCTCAGGGATCACTTCTGGCAGGGCTCAGGGGTTAGAGGGGTTGCTGAGGATCAAGCCAGGTCTACTATGTATAAGGCAACTGTATTGTTTCTCCAGGCATCTTATTGACACTTTCAAAATTTTATTTTTTAGTTGAATCACAGTGAGATACATGGTTACAAAGCTGTTCATGATTGATTTTCAATCATATAATTTTCCAACATCAGTCCCTCCACCAGTGTACATTTCCCATCATCCATGTCCCAGTTTCCCTCCTGCCACCCCTCCCCCCCGTGGTAGACACTTTTCTTGGCAGGCACTTTTCTTCTTTCTCTCTCTCTCTCTCTCTCTCTCTCTCTCTCTCTCTCTCTCTCTCTCTCTCTCTCCTCTTTCTCATAGCAAACACTTTTCTTTTCTCTCTCTCTTTCTCCCTCCACCCCCTCTCCTTTTGGGCATTATGATTTGCAATACACATACTTAAAGGTGATCAGGTACGTCCTTTTACCTACTTTCAACACTGAGTTCCTGTCTAAAGTGATCATTTCCAACTATTTTGTCATACTGGTCCCTTCTATATCCTAAAGTAAAGTAAAGGCCCTCCCGTTGATCGTCGATTTGCTCGAGCGGGCCCAGTAACGTCTCCATTGGAGACTTTGTTGTTACTGTGTCTGGCATATCCAATACTCTCGGTAGCTTGCCGGGCTCCCCGAGAGGGGCGGAGGAATCGAACCCGGGTCGGCCATGTTGGCCGCTTGTAAGGCGAACGCCCTACCCGCTGTGCTATTGCTCCAGCCCATATATCCTATATCTATATCCTAACTGCCCTTATTCACATTTTTTGAAAAGCGTAGCTTTTGCTGGGAGATAACGCCGTACGTTGGAGCCCATGCTTTGCTTGTCAGATCCCTGGGTTCAATCTTTAGAACACATATTCCCCCATTGCCACAAGCGACTCCTCAGTAGTGAGTCAGAAATGACTTTTCCTGTGGTCCCCCTAAACTACACATAAATACATAATCATATATACTGCAAATAAACTATGTATAATACATATGTTATAGATAATTCATGATGCATAGTGATCATCTTCTTTTAGGGAAGGCTTTTTACTCTATGAAGCATGACGTGACTGTTATTTTGACCTTGATTAGCGGTTCTTATCTAACACACAACTTTCAACATCGCAAAGACCTATGTCCTCAAAAAAAAATATTTAGATATAATAATATTAAAGAAGAGAAAGAGCACAGTAGATAACCTTTGAATTATAGTTGAACTCTTATTTATAGGAATGCTGAAAAGTGTTTAGATGCCTGCAGTGTAGTGCAGGTCTGTCTCCAGAGAAGGCTTACTGGGTAAGTGAAAAACTCTTGACGTTTGTGCTATGCCAAGGGAGCATTTATTTGATAAGACTTGCTGTCAAGAAAATGTAGTTTACCCCAGCAAATGCGGAGGAGTGACTCCTTTTTGCTCTTGATGTAAAATGACATGCTTTTGGTTTGTTCCGGTAGGTTCTGCCGTTCCTGTATTGCTACCAGTCTGAAGAACAGTAAGTGGACCTGCCCTTACTGCAGGGCCTATCTTCCTTCAGAAGGAGTTCCAGCGACTGATGTAGCCAAAAGGATGAAATCCGAGTACCAACACTGCACAGAGTGTGACGAATTGGTATGAGAGCCCTCCGTGCTCAGCTTCCTGAGCTGATCATTGCACCACTGCTTTGGCCTCAGCCTTTCCTGACTTTCTAAAGTGCATTGTCCTACCTCTCCCCTTCATTTTGGACAATTTCATACACGTGGGCTGTTGAAAAGTGGTCACCCAGCTTCCACCATCCCCTAATTTTTCCAGTGTTTTCTTTTACTCCATTTCCTCTCTTCTCGTGACTCTCTTGAATTTCATTCCTGCTACTCTAGCACTGCAGACCAGTAAATAGCTTTCTTAGCCAGTCTAGTTGTCATATTTCCAATCAAGGAGCATAGTTCTTCTATGTTCATTGTGATTTGGCAATATTTCTCTTTACTGATCACATTCTCCTTCTAACTTTTCTCATTTGACGCTCTGCTAGTCTGGTCAGATTATGTGAAATCCGGAGGCCATTTAAAAGATGCTAGATTTTATCCTAGGTCCTGTAGTGTAGGAAAAGTGTTAGCTTTGCAGGTCCAGAGCAATAGTACAGCAGGTAGGGTGTTTGCCTTGCTGACACGGGTTCAATCCCCAACATCCCAAACGGTCCCTCAAGCACCGCCAAGAGTAACCCCTGAACATCGCTGGGTGTGACCCAAAAATGGGGGAAAAAATTGTAAGCTTTGCGGTGCAATGTTCAGGTTTATAGTTTTAAGCTGTCTCTTTAGTTAGTATGTGGATGGAGACCGGTTTGAAGGGAAAAAAAGTGACTTGTGAAGTGAAGCCGATTAGGTGCCTGGAGGGATGGCTCAGGTTAGGACAATGGATTTGTTTCTAGGTGTGTTTAGTTAGGATAGAATTGAAGGAAATGGTCCATTGACTTGGATGGGGTGGGTGGAGGGAAATGAGACATAGTGTCAAAATACCTCCAGGATTTCTGGCATGAGTAGGTGATGGTATTAATATGAGAAGCATATTCAGAGTAGAATCCAGAGTTAAGTTTTCAGCATATTAAATCTGAACTGTTAAGGGAAGGATAGTTACATATATCAATCTAGAGATCAAAGTGATTATGTACTGAGCATTTAAATTACTTTAGAGAACCTGTGTTGATCCTTAATGTCAATTGTCACATACTTTCTCTAGTATCTATATCCTGTGCTTTGCTTTTATAGCACTTATTACCATCTGTTGTTAGGCTTTTAACTTGGATATTAATTATCCCTACCAGACTTAAGCTCCCTGAGGATAAGGACAGTTTCCGGGTTCTTTTTTTTTTTCAGGGGTGGGGAAGGGGGAGTGGCATATACCTCCTCCAGAATAGCAAAGGGCCTGGCAGTCCTCAGTCAGCCGGGCCACATGCTTTAATGCTGAGGCTTAAGAATGTGATGCTCAGGCTGGAGCGATAGCACAACCGGTAGGGCATTTGCCTTGCATGCGGCAGACCCGGGTTCTATTCCCAGCATCCCATATGGTCTCCCGAGCACCATCAGGAACTTGAGTGCAGAGCCAGGAGTAACCCCTGTGTATTGCCGGGTGTGACCCAAAAATCAAACAAAAAATAAGATAAAAATAAATCTAAAAAAAAGAATGTGATACTGCTTGACCCTGGTGGTGCTCAGGGGTCTGTAGGCCATACTCAGTGATGCAAGAGTGGAGCAGTCTCCAGGGATACATCCATGATGTTCAGGGGGCAATGTGTTGTTGGGATTGAAACTTGGTCCCTATGCAAACCACACACTGATCCACTGGGCTGTCTTCTGGGCCCAGACTCTTGCCTGTTTTGGGCAATTCCCTACCTAGCACTTTGAAAAATGACTGGCACACAGTATGTGATTAGTGCATGTTTTTAAAACATTGATGTTCACTGATGTTAAGACTGTACACAGCCCTAACTACAAAGTTGATGCCTCGACAGGAGAGAGAACTCAAAGGGCTCAGAAAATGCATTGTGTGGGGGAGACGTGGGTGATTCCAGGTACAGCACCACACAGAGTGACCCCTGCGTGTACACAGCCAGGAGTTACCCCAAGCACTTCCATCTATGTCCTAATCCCCACTTTGCCCCTGAATTTTTTTTTAAGCCTGGGACTCAGAGAGATAATACTTGCTTGTCTTGCATGGGCCAACCCGGGTTCAATCCCCAGCACCGAATATGGTGCCCATAGAACTATCAGGAGCGTTCCCTGAGTGTAGATCCAGTAATAACCCATGAGCATTATTGAGTGTGGCCACACACACCTCACCACCCAAAGTTTTAGGCCTGGTTTCAGATTCAAACATACTGGGATCAACCACTTTTTGAGTTAGGACATATTACTGAGCCAAGTTTTTGTTTATCTTTTTGTAAGAAGGAAAATGATAATCATATGGCTCATTGTACTGTCAGGAACATTGTAATTGCTAAAAAATCAAAAGCTTTTTATTTATTTATTTATTTATTTTAATGTAGGAGTATTACTATTTATTCAGCTGCTGATTAGCTGATTGAATTGGCATAAACTCCACCTTACTTTTTTAAAAAATTTTTTATAATTTTATTTATTGAATCATCATGAAAGCAGTTACAAAGCTTTCGGGTTTAAGAATCAGTCATACAATGAAACACCCATACCTTCACCAGTGTCCATTCTCCACCCCCAAATACCCCAGTATACCCCCATCCCACACCCTCCCCATACCTGTGGGGCAGATGATTTCCACATTACTCTCTCTCTACTTTGATTGCATTCAATATTTTGACACCAGACCCACCATTATTATTTGGGATTTAACCCCAACACTCAGATCTGCTGAAAAGGCAACAGTAGACAATTTGTTTTCTATTGCCGGTTACGAATAACATATGATGTCACGTGGCTGCAGTAGTGGCCACACGATTTTGAAATTCCGAAATTTTAACAATTAAATCTGGAGGAATTTCTGCCAAAACCTGCTGGGTCCCGAGATTTGTTCCTGAGTCTCTTGGACCATGGCCATTAAGCAGCTTGATCAGGAGCCTGAAAGGCCGTTTGTGGGCGGCGACTCAGGGTCTCGTTGGGACAGGGAGGAAAGGGCCAGCTCCATCCCCATCCCGTGAGGCACCACGTGTCTCATCACTGAGGACCCAAACCTGACTGTCCAATGGCCTCTGGAGGATGGTGGCCATCTAGCCTCCTAGGGGGAGCAGGCAGAGGACAGTACCCTTTCCCCCCGGAATGGCCTGGCGACAGTAACCTACTGCGGGGTCCAGACGCATTTCTGCCAAAAGCCACTGGGTTCCGAGATTTGTTTCTGAGTCTCTTGGATCATGGCCATTAAATGGCTTGATCAGGAGCCAGAAAGGCCGTTCATGGGCAGTGACTCGAGGTCTCTTTGGGACAGGGAGGAAAGGGCCGGCTCCACCCCCATCCCATGAGTCCCCACGTGTCTCGTCACTGTGGGCCCTAACCTGACTGTCCAGTGGCCTCTGGAGGATGGTGGCCACCAGGCCGCCAGGGGGAACAGGCCAAGGCACGAAACCTATTCCCACCTGGGGTGGCCCAGTGCCAGTAACCTACTGCAGGGACTGGATGCATTTCTGCCAAAAGCCGTTGGGTTTTGAGATTTGTTTGAGTCTCTGGGATCATAGTTAAGCAGTTTGATCAGGAACTAGAGAGGCCATGCCTCCAAGTATATAGCTGAGCTGGAGGTGGTTTGTGGGTGTATCTCCCACATACCTAACTTTTGGCCATTTACTTTCTTGGTAAACTTTGCCCCAATTTTTTGGGGTCTGGCCAAAGGCACAGCAGCAATTTTGGGGTATCTGGAAGTCTGAAGGTGCCAGCAGGCTGCTGATGCACTCGCCTCACAGGTACAGATTAACCTGCTGGTGGCACCATACCCCCAATCAAAAGCTTTTTAAATTCATATGTTTGGGGACTGGAGCGATAGCACAGAGGGTAGGGCATTTGCCTTGCACGCAGCCGACCTGGGTTGGATTCCCAGCATCCCATATCATCCCCTGAACACCACCAGGAGTAGTTCCTGAGTGCAGAGCCAGGAATAACCCCTGAGCATCGCTGGATCTGACTGAAAAATAAAAATAAATAAATAAATAAAATTCATGTTTTATTATCATATATAAACGTCAGTATGTACAAAATCAACCTTATATCACTCCGTCACCTGACTCTTGATCAGATCCCATGCATGTGTCTGTCAGGACTGGAAACATTATTTTAATTATCCTGATCAGAAATCTTCCTTTTTTCCCACTTCCCATTTCTGATTTACTCACAGGTAATTTGGTCTCTCCTTTAAGTATTTCTTGTCTCTCTTCCTTTCTATGTTTTCCTGTTGCCAGGAACACAACAGCTATTTTAGCCACCACTTCTTTAGAGTTCAGATCAGATCTCCATTCCTTGGCTAGTATTCTTGGTCTTGGTATTTCAGTCCCCAATAAAAAATAAGTAGATGGGGCCAGAGCAATAGTGCAATAGTGTCGTTTCTTAAAATGTCTTCATAATTTTGTCTCTATAGCAGATATTCTCTGTATTGATCTACTTACTGGTCAGTATATAGTCTTCAAAGGAATCTATATGAGGAATGATTCTCTCTATAGATCAAGCAATACAAATGGGGGAAAAAGTGCCTAAGAAAAGTAGTGAAGAAATTGGAGCACGTTAAAGAGCATGTTGGATGTCAAAGGTTCTGAAACATTCCATTCTAGGATTGCTATTTAGATCTGTCCCTGGTCTTTACATCTGTTAGGTGGTCATGCATAAGAGCAGGATTTGGGAGCTGGAGCGATATAGCACAGCAGGTTGGGCATTTGCCTTGCACATGGCCGACCCAGGTTCGATTCCCAGCATCCCATATGGTCCCCCAAGCACCGCCAGGAGTAATTCCTGAGTGCATGAGCCAGGAGTAACCCCTGTGCATCACCGGGTGTAACCCAAAAAGAAAAAAAAAGCAGGATTTGTTTTCACATTTCCACTTGCTCTGACTTTTTTAGTCTTTGGTTAAGTAATGAAAACTCTTTTCTTGACTCAGTGGATTTCTGTGGTTTGACTTCCTCTTGCTTGGGCAGCCATCTTACTGCAGATATACAAAGCTTCCTTTAGCACTAGATCTTATCAGAGCTTCTGATGAAACACTTAGTAGAATATGTGCTGTTTAGTAACAGAACCTTCATGGTTAGCATCTCTGGATGTATATCTGGAAGGACAAGGGCTCTTTCTTTAGCCTTGATAAAAATGGACTGTAAGCGCTCTCTTTTATGTTTGCTCTTAATGGAGCCATTAAGTATATTGTGTATTGTGAATTCATGTACTAGTAGCAGACATGTTATTGAAAAACCATGGTGCTTATATCTTTCTCTGAGGCACTGTGCTTACTGTGTGGATCTCTAAAATCCATTCATTTATTCTTTTTATCACTCTTTGTTTCCTTCCTTTCTGTCTCTTTTTTCTAACTGCCCCCAGCCCCTTCTTTTCCCTTGTTCTTTCCACTTTGGAAAAAAATGTTGTTTTCTAGACAAATTAAATTCAACAGTGCAATATTGGGGTCTTCTAATTTTTAGAGAAGTAGAAAAAATTATCTTTTTTTGATATGTCCTGTTTGTACTGCTATCATGAATGCATCCTTTCAATCAACAAATCCTACACTGTGGCCTTTTTTGAAATAATAAAAGTATTAAAGCTGAATTGCATAAAACTTCAGGGATTCCATTGAACCACTTCTCCACAGTTAAGCTTATTTCAATTTGCTTTGATACAGGTTTGTCTCAGCGAAATGAGAGCACACATAAGAACTTGCCAGAAGTACATAGACAAATATGGTCCACTGCAAGAACTTGGGGAGACAGTGACAAGGTCTGTGTCCATCTACTGTACCTCACTGCTAAACACCATATGCCTGTATAGGATTGAATGGGCTGAATGATTGAAATTTTTTGGTTGTTTGTTTTGGGGTCACACCTGTCAGTCCTGGGGAAGGTGGGGATAGAGCAATCTTGACTTATGCTCAGAGATTGCACCCAAAAGTATTTTGCTCATCAAACTCAGCCTACCATATCCAAAGCCTTCACTCCAGCCCCTTGAGCTCTCTCCCTGGTTGTTTAAATTCTTAATACCTATTATTGTGATCTTTTATTAATAGCAACCATGATCAGGGGCTGAAGCAATGACACAGCGGGTAGGGCATTTGCCTTGCAGGCGGCAAACCCGGGTTCGATTCCCAGCATCCCATATGGTCCCCTGAACATCTCCAGGAGTAATTCCTGAGTGCAGAGCCAGGAATAACCCCTGTGCATTGCCAGGTGTGACCCAGAAAGCAAAAAGAAAAAAATAGCAACCATGATCAAGTGCTGTTGCCTTCTCTAGCTTGAAAACCACATGGGAGGTGCCAACGGATCACTGGAGAAACTGGGAACTTCCCCCGCCAAGTCTGGATTGAGGAAGATTCCAAAATAGATCTTTTTCTGTTCAGTGTCTGCTAGGCTCTGTGTTCTGACTCATACTTCTTAAAGGAGATCATGGTTAAGAGGTTACTCATTTTTACTCTTCCATCACCACTGCTTTATTCCCCAGCTCAACCCTCCTTATTGTGCTTCTTTCTCTGTAGAAAGTACATGTGTATATTCTAATAAGACAAAAGCAGCCCCGAGCCAGCTACCTGGTTGTAGTTGCATTTTGATCAATGAGATTAACCTAGAGCTAGAGAAATTGTGCATGAAGAGGCTGGAGATATAGTACAGCAGGTAGGGCATTTGCCTTGCCCATGCCTGACACGAATTCAACTCCTGGCATCCCATACGGTTCCCTGAGCACCACCAGGAGTGATTCCTGAGTGCAGAGCCAGAAATAACCCCTGAGCATCACCGGATGTGACCCAAAACGAAAAGTAAAGAAAGTGTGCATGAAGCTGGCTGTGTGGTCTAATGGAGACTGTGGGGCATTGATATTTTATGTGTATGTGCTCCTGAGGATGAAACTCAGAGGTAAGTGCTCTACTGTTGACTGTACCACAGTCTGATCACTATGTTTCTCTGTAGCACAAAAGGGAAAGAAGGGCCCAGGAGACAGTACAGAGATTAAAATATTTGCCTTACATGCATCTAATTCTGGTTCAATCCCTGGCACCATATACAATCTTCCTAGCATTGCCAGAAGTTCCTGAACACAGACAGGTATGACTCCCCCCGCACCAACAACAAAAAAACAAAAAAAGAAAAAAGAACAGGGGGATAGCTCAACAGACTTTAACTTATGCTTTGCATGCAGGATGTCTGGGTTCTTTTGCAGGTCTCCTTGTTCCCCCAAATACCACCTGGAGTGAATGCGAAGCACTGAGCCAAGAATAGCCCCTGGGTACCACTGGGTATGGCCCCAAAATCAGAAGAAGAAAAGAAATAAAATAATCTTAGTCATTACTATACAAGCTAGACTTAGGGAATAATTATAAAGTATGGGCTCTCTGCTAAGGAAATAAGGAAATGATTTTATGTTCTTCTGCCAGGCTTCAAAACCATTAAATCTGCTTTTAATAAACTCAGTTGTCCAATAATAGTATTCAGTAGAAATGTGATTTTTTTTCTCTCCCCTAAAGAATATGTTTATTCTTCTGATTTTTGGAAAGTGCACTCAAAATATAGCTGAAATTTTCCTAACTTTGAAACCTAAATGATAAACCCATACTTCATGTACACTAGAAATTGCTTTGCTGATGTACCTGCTATTCTGGGATTAGTTTTCTACCACAACATTATAAATTCTAAATGAGTACAAAATATAGACGCTGAGAGATTGGCTTTAAGGACTAAAAAGAAGGAAGAATAATAAATGGATTGAAAAAGTGTGGGGATTTAAGGCAAGGTAAATGTATGAAACAAAATCATATGAAAGCTAATTAAATGTTTTTTTTTCTTCTGCTACTTTGAATTAAATAATTTTTTAAAAACAGAAAATGAGGGGACTTGGATCAGCAGTAGAGCACTTGTTTTGCATGTGTAAGGTCCTGGAGCAATTCCAAAGCATCAGGAAAAAAGAAGGGAAAAAAACTGAAAAGATTGTTGCTTAGTTAATTTCACAGCAGAGATTAGTATTTGCAGTTAAGATAGAAATCGTTGCTTGAAGAACCGGGCAGATAGTGCAAGGGCCTGGAGCACGTGCCCTGCATGCGGAAGTCCAGATGTGATCTCTGGCACTACGTGGCCCCCCTGCACTGCCACGAGTGCTCCTGAGCACAGAGCCAGGAACAGTCCTGAGCACTGCCAAGCATAGTCCAAAAGAAGATAGAGAGAGAAATATAATGCAGAACTTATTTAAAATTTGTAATACCTACACTTCTAAAGAGGAAAAAAGTTTTTTTAAAGAGTGAAATTAGGGCCAAAGTGATAGTGCAGCGGGGAGGGTGTTTGCTTTGCACGCAGCTGACCTGGGTTCGATCCCTGGCATCCCATATGGTCCCCCAAGCATCACCAGGAGTAATTTCTGAGTGCCGAGCCAGGAGTAACCTCTGAGCATTGCCAGGTGTGACCCAAAAAGCAAAAAAAAAAAAAAAGTGAAATTAATTCTCAATATATTTTATTTTTTAAATATGAGAGATTTTGCTTATTTTATATTCAGTCTTTGAAATTCAGTCTGTATTTGATACTTTCAGACATACTTGCCAAGCATTTCTCAGTTGAAAGTAGCCACATATAGTTAACAGCTACTGTATTGAACTACACAGATGTAACATTATAAATACATCATACTTGTCTTACATAAACATATAGTTAAGCTAGTGAAGTTGGAGAAAAATTAACAACCAGTTCAGATATTACCTGTGTTAGGAAAGGGCAGAGGAAAGGAGAAAGAAAGGGTAACCAAAGGATTACCTTTATCTATATCCCAGGGTTACCTGGGGATATAGATCAATGGACTTACCTCATGCTTTGCATACAGAAGACCCAGGTTCCATCCTCTCCTCAGCACCACATGGTCCCCAAAGCTCTGCCAGAAGTTACCCCCCCACCCCACCCCAGCACTGCACCAGCAGTAGCCTCTGAGCCCCAAAGGGTGATGCAACCCAGCCCAAAAGCAAACAGGCAGAAAGATAGAAAAAAAAACTGTCAAACCAGGAGGAATGAGAACCAAAAGCTAGATAAACCTCTATCCGAGTGTTTCTAACTTCTAGATTCTTGCTGACAATTTTAGTACTTTTTGTATTCTCTACCATTTCCAGGTGTGTGTGTCCATTTTGTCAGAAGGAAGTGGACGAGGACAGCTTGCTAGATCACTGTATTACTCATCACAGATCTGAAAGAAGATCCGTGGTAAGGACTCTTGTTGCTTTTTGTTTCTGCAGTGTTTAAATTCAGTATACAGTAAAAAATTCACTTAATAGCCTTCTATTTATAGAAGGATTACAAGAGATACTAAATGTCAATATCATAGTACTTCTGTAATAAAAACGTATATGTGAAAGGGTTGATTGAAACTGGTAAGAATTACTAATATATAAAAAAAGAATTACTAATGTATCAGTCACTCATACATTAAATTGGAGAACATTCTTTCCTACAGATAATCATGAACACAGTCAAGTAATAAGATCCCAAATGCACATACTTTTGGTTGTAGTACTCTGCCTACATCCTAAGTTAAAAACATTTCAATAATGTAAGTAGGGTTTCATGATAGTACACCCTGAAAAAAAGTAGAAAGACACTCACTTTCATTGATCATTCTGTTTTATTAGTCTGAATATTTATACATATGTATGCATATTTGGGCTAGAGAGATTTCAGTGGGCTGAGCATGGTTGGTATATAGGAGACCTGGGTTTGATCACCAGTACCACACAGTCCCCTGAGCACCACCAAGAAAACCCCCAAAGAGAGCAGGGGTAGCCCTCAAATACTACTAATATGGCCTAAATTGTTTATATGCAATACTGGAATTTCATGCATTTTTGATCCTCAGTGGAAAACATAGATTAAAAACTCTATGAAGTCCCAGGTAAAGAAAGCAGAGTTTAGAGTTGATTTTGGATTGTTGTGGAAGTTTGCAAAGAATCACTGCTTCCAAGGATGGGATTTCCAGTTTTGCCTGTAGAAAAATCAGTGACATCATCTGACTTAACCTGACAGGAGAACTTTTCATGGCAGTTAGAGATAAGTGAAAATTCTGTTTTCCAGTAAGTTGATAATTCAGGGATCAATATTCTGACTTGTTACAGACATCTGGAAGTTTTTGCCTCTCCTTATGTGTTTCCTTAAGACCAAAAGTTTTTTTGTAGTGTTTTAGGCTATGTCCGACAGTGCTCAGTATGTGCGGTGCCTGAAAGAGAACCTGGGCCTCCTACTCGCAAAGGACTCCAGCCCATAGAATCATTTATCTGGCTCCCAGCAGCTTTCTTAGTCATAGAAATTATATGCTGTCTATAGCCATACCACCCAGAATGTGCCTGATCTTGTCTAATCTTAGAAGCTACGCAGGGTCAGGCCTGATTAGTACTTGGATGGGAGAAATTATATGCTGATGCATTTGGTTTTTTTTTATTTCATTTATAAAATGTTGGGGCTCTCTCTGCCCTTGGAGAAGCCTGCGGTCTCCCTTGAGTGCTTCTCTCTCTCTCTCTTTTTCTTTCTCTCTCTCTTTTTCTTTCTCTGTCTCTCTCTTCCCCTCCCCACTTCAAAACCCCTCCCACCAAATAAAATGTTTTACTTTAAAAAGGGGGGGGTGCTGGAGCAATAGCACAGTGAGTAGGGCACTTGCCTTGCACGCAGCCAACATGGCTGACCCGAGTTCGATTCCTCCATTCCTCTCGGAGAGCCCAGCAAGCTAACGAGAGTATCTCGCCCCCACAGCAAAGCCTGGCAAGCTACCCGTGACGTATTCGATATGCCAAACACAGTAACAACAAAATCTCACGATGGAGATATTACTGGGCCCGCTTGAGCAAATCGATGAACAATGGGAGGACAGTGACAGTGATAAAATGTTGGTGCTCTCTCTGTCCTTGGAGAAGCCTGCGGTCTCCCTTGAATGCTTCTCTCTCTCTCTCTCTCTCTCTCTCTCTCTCTCGCTCGCTCACTCTCTATCACGCTCTCTCTCTCTTTCTCTCTCTGCCTCTCTCTTCCCCTCCCCCACTTCAAAACCCCTCCCACCCACCAAATAAAATCTGTTTTACTTTAAAAAGCGGGGGGGGTGGGGGGCACAGCAGGTAGGGCATTTGCCTTGCATGCGGCCAACTCAGGTTCATTCTCCGCATCCCACATGGTTCCCCCGAGCACCGCAAGGAGTAACCCCTGAGCATCGCAGGGTGTGACCCAAAAAGCAAAATAAATAAATAAATAAAGATAAAAAAATTAAAAGGGGGGATGTCACACAAAAATAAAATACTAGGGGCTGGAGTGATAGCACAGTGGGTAGGGCATTTGCCTTGCACGCGGCCAACCTGGGTTCAATTCCCAGCATCCCATAGGATCCCCCGAGCACCGCCAGGAGTAATTCCTGAGTGCACGAGCCAGGAATAACCCCTGTGCATCGCCGGGTGTGACCCAAAAAGCAAAATAAATAAATAAATAAAAATAAAATAAAATACTAGATTCAGAAGAGGCAAATAATTGCAGTCACCGTGGTTCAGATTGAATTATGAGAGAAATCAGTTTCTTTTTGTTTTGTTTTGCTTTTTTGGGGGGGGGCTACACTGAGCAGTGCTCAGGAGCTGCTAGGGGTCATATCTGAGCCTTCCACATGCAAAGCATACACTGCAGCCCTTTGTGCCTGCTCCCCAGCCTAAATCTTGGATTTTTATTGTATAAAGGGAAGAAGGTATTTCAACAAAAACTACACTTCCTATTGAATTTCTCTACCAAGAGTGCTCTTTCTTTCAGGGGCTAGCTAAGTCTCTCCTTTTGATTCAGTTTCGATTTCAGTTCCTTGGAGAAACTCTCACTGACACCCAAATAAATTTCATCTCTTGCTTTTCACTCTCCTTTCCTTCACTGGTAATTGAGTATTCGTGTCATGATTGTCTCTCCCTGTCCCTTTAAATGCCTAGAGTCAAGCAACTTCCTTATCCATACTGTATTCCGAACTGTTGGGAGAGAATACGTATAGTCAGTAGTGGGTGAGTAATGTGAAAAAATGGGATCTTAAAGAAAAGCACAGGGCTGGAGAGATAGTGCAGAGGGCAAGGCACTTGCCTTGCTTGCAGCCAAACGTAGTTCAATCCCCAGCACTGCATATAACCCCAAGCAAGTCAGGATTGATCCCTGAGCACTGCCAGGTGTCACTCAAAAATGAAAAAAAGAAAGAAAGAAAGAAAGAAAGAAAGAAAGAAAGAAAGAAAAGAAAAGAAAGAAAAGCATAGTTCTATTCACCAGGTTCAAAGATTCCAGTAGACTTAGTTTTTGGCCTTGCATCTGTGATTCACTCCTTAAATGAAGAGACATAACTTCAGTTGTTTTGAAATAAGTCAAGGGTGATGGGTATCTTAGTACCTATAGTACTTTGTTTTATTTATTTATTTATTTATTTATTTATTTATTATTTTTGGTTTGGGGACTACACCAGATAGTGCTCCTGGCTCTGTACTCAGGAATCACTCCTGGCAGTGCTTGCTTGGAGGACCAACCAAATGGGATGCTGGGGATGCTGGGGATCGAACCTGGGTCAGCTGCATGCAAGATAAAAACCCTACCTGGGTCTGTGGATCTTTTTTCTTTTTGCTCTTGGCTTTTTGGGTCACACCAGTGATCGGGTTATGCGTGGCTTTGCACTCAGGAATGACTCCTGGTGATGCTGGGGATTGAAGGTAGAGGCAAGCCAAACCCTATAGTATCACTTTGGCCCCTGAGCCTAAGGGGCTTTAAAAACGAGTTTCTAGACTGGATACTGATACTAAGAGTGTATATACATACATGTTTAACAAAGAACAAAATTCATTAAATGTGCTTTAAAAATACCACATACTACATGGAAAATACCATGCTAAGTGAAATGAGTCAGAAAGAGAGGGACAGAAATAGAAAGATTGTGTTCATCTGGGGAACATAAAGTAACAAAATAGGAGACTAACACCCAAGAATAGCGAGATCAGTACCAGGAGGTTTACTCCATGGCTTGGAGGCCAGCCGCACTTGCTAGGGGAAATGGCAGCTCAGATAGAGAAGGGAGCACCAAATAAAGGGGATTGGGAGGATCCTCCCAGGATGGGAGATACATGCTGAAAGTAGGCTATAGACCGAACATGATTACTACTCAGTGCCTCTTTTGCAAACCACAGCACCCCAAAGGAGAGAATGAACAAAAGGGAATGACCAGCCACAGAGGTGGGGTGGGATGGGGGGAAGGGGGGTGGGAGCGATACTGGGATCATTGGTGGTGGAGAATGGGCACTGGTAGAGGGATGGGTACTCGATCATTGTATAACTGAAACCCAAGCACAAAAATTTGTAAGTCTGCAACTGTACCTCATGGTGTTTCACTAATAAAAATTTTTTTAAAAATTGCATTTCTAAAAAAAAAATTTAAAAATAAAAATACCACAAAGTTAGAATTCGAATTGCAGTCAGCTATCATAATCGTAAGTTTATTAACACACTCTCCTATGTTTTCATTGTGTAACTTCTCCGCTTTTTTGTATTTTTTAATCATTAGTGTTCTTCTCAAGTGACACTTGCCAGTACATAGAAAGTATCCAGAGCCAGAGAGATAGCTTAAGGCTTTGCATGTCATTCAGTCCTCAGTACCTCTTGGCCCCTCCAGTACTACTAAGAGTGACTCCCAAGCAAGAACCAGCATGTTAGAGTAACTCCCAGCACTGCCAGGTGTGGCCCCAAAAGAAAAGAAAGTGTTCATTAATTTGGGGGGGGGGGGTGTCTAGGCTTAGTGCTTGGGGGTTGTTTTTGTCAGCGCTGAAGGAACCACTGGGGTGCTGAGAATCAAGCCTGGGGGTCTTCCATGAGAGCAGACACACAAGCCCTCTGAGCTCTCCCCTTCTCCCTAAAAGTGTCTCTTAATTGGCTGAGATGTTTGGAGGTTATTCCAAACCCTAGCATCTTAAACTGCATCGAAACTCCATATGGGGCCGGACAATAGTACAGTGGGTAGGGCCCTTGCCTTGCACATGGCCAACCTGACTTGGATCTCCAGCATCCCATATGGTTGCCAGGAATAATTCTGGAGCGCAGAGCCAGGAGTAATTCTCTAAGCACCATAGGGTGTGGCCGTAAAACAAAGACAAACAAACAAAAAACCCTCCATATGGGACCATGTAACTGAATGTGGGATTTATAACAGATTTAGCAATAGTAAAATGTTTCTG